TCTTCCCAGTGACAATGTGTCATAATGTGAAATAGCAAAGCCAAATATGAAAAAAGGAAATTGTTAACATGCAGTGTTTTTAAAAGTCCAGTTTGTGAACATGCTATTTTTTTTCCTTTTTAGGGTTCAGTGTTTCATACTTTTGGTAATTAATTTCATGCTTAAGAAAATATCCACACAGTGTAGTGTCTGCAGATTTATAGGTAGTATTTTATTTATGATCAGCAACGGGTAGGTTTAAGATGATTTTGGCACATAGATGTATCGCAAATTCTGCAGATGATATAGGCAGTAGCAGAAGGAACTATCTTCCAAATAATTTAATAAAACCAAGTCAGGCACACTCAAATAATGTAAATAGCCAAGTGGTTAAATTTATTATTTAGTTCATAATTAATATTTTAAATAATTCATATACCAACTAAATTTTCACTTCTGCTATGTTGTTAATAAGATGTGAGTTTTACTATATTTAAAACCCCCCAACCCTTATGGAATCATCAAAATATACACATGCCTTACTGAGTAACTGTATTATTATTATTATTACTGTTTCCTTCTCCTTATCTCCCCTTCCTCCCCACTTTTTTAGGGTGACCAGATGTCCCAATTTTATAGGGACAGTCCTTATTTGGGGCTTTTTCTTATATAGGCACCTATTACCCCGCACCCCCTGTCCCAATTTTTTACACTTGCTGTCTGGTCTCCCTACACTTTTTGATCAGTTTCTTTCCCTCATTTCTTGTGTCCTGTCAAAATTGTAAGTTCTCTGGGGAAGGACAAAGTACAAAAACCTTAGGGTGCTTTGGTAGCACAAAATATCCTTAAAACAGGACCTAAATGGTCAGCTGCCATTTTCACTGACAGAGAAAAATCTCTAGGTGGCATAGAGCTGATGGTGATCAGTTCTGTTCCATTCTTTTCACAGGCCCTGCTCTTAGGGTCTGCCAAGGGAGGTGCTTGACATGAGTGTATTTTAAAAAAATTAAAAACAGATCAAATACATTTACAGTATTGATGAAACAAAATATTACATGCAGTACACTTTTTACCATAACTGTTTAACCCTTCTTACACAGATATGAAAGTCAATGAGATTTAGGCTCCCAAGTCCCTAAATTACTTTTGAAAATTGGTTGTAGGTTCCTAGTCACTTAGTCACTTTTGAAAATGTTACCTATCATGTTTAGTTTCATACAGTGCAAACCACGATTAAACAATCTGCTATGAAATATTACCATGTGGAGCACAATAACTAATATACTAGTGATAGACATGGCTGGTTTATATGAACAGAGACAGGGTAGCTTGGGGTCATCTCCTTCCTTGCTAATGACCAGCTTCCTCTTCCTTGTGTATTTTTGAAACACTCATTCTAGTACGTTTCAGAGTAGCAGCCGTGTTAGTCTGTATTCGCAAAAAGAAAAGGAGTACTTGTGGCACTTTAGAGATTAACAAATTTATTTGAGCATAAGCTTTCGTGACTCCTTTTCATTCTGGTAGATAATCCTACTTACCTGCAACCCTGATAATGTTGTGAACTTTCCCTCCTGAGGCTCAGTTAATTGATAAGCTCAAATCTCCTATTTTTCATGATATCTCTTTGACATGCTGTGCTTTATTGTTGGAGGAATGCATTCCATTAGGCAACTCTGTAACTTCATAATATCTCATACAAAGCACTTGATACCTGTCATCTGGTAAATAAGTACATAATTATTTGTTATAGAGGTTCTCTAAAAGACAAGTGAGAAGTTATGCTTTTTTCTGCCTATCCATGTCTTTACATTTACTGGTTCATGCTTTCCAGCAGATCAAATGTTCTGTGGTAAATGCTGACTGAGATTGGTTTCTCAAGTATATAAAGCATAGTGTGTTTTAGCTGATAATCAATAATTCTATAAAATATTGTGCTGATTTTGCATTCAATTCTGAAGTGCATGGTCACATAACTGCAGATGGTCACCACCCACAGATCATAATTATAATGTCCTTGTTCAGATGGGCCCAAGGCAACGAGAGATATGCATTGGTCCATATTTTACAATTCTGCCTGGCCTAAACTTCCATGCCTTTGTGTACTACCCAGACTATTACTGACATTTCTTTCCAGAATAAAATTTCAAAAATAAAATCTTTTAATCTTGTGTTCCTTTTCTATATAAGTGAAAGGCAATGTGGTATAGTGCAATCAAGATAGAATTTTAGGAACTGAGGAATTCATGGGTTCTAATACCGGCCGTGTCATTGGCTTACTGTAAGGGTAAGCCACTTCACCATTCTATGCCTGGTACTGAATTTCCTATCTGTAATAATACTCACCCGCCTACTTCACAGAAATGTTGGGTCGATTAATTACAGTTTGTATAGTACTTTGAACATATACAGCATCGTATAGTATTTGATAAATATTATTATTATGAGTGGTTTCAGAGTAGTAGCCGTGTTAGTCTGTATTCGTAAAAAGAAAAGGAGTACTTGTGGCACCTAGAGACTAACAAATTTATTTGAGCATAAGCTTTCGTGAGCTACAGCTCACTTCATTGAGCGTAATTTCTAAAACTTCTGAATTTGTACATGTGAGTGATCTGTATATTTAAACCCCTTTGTGCAAAGGGTACACAAGTAAATGTAATCATATTTTTAAAGTGAATCTATTTTGTTTTTAACATTTGCTTAAAATCTAATGGAAACCTTGTGTTATGAAGAAAGTATAGCTCAAACAGGAAAGTACAAAAGGAAGAACACACAAGTCCTGGTCAGCTGTTTTAGCTTTTAAGTTATAGGTTTTTGTTATCTAACAAATGATTAACATATATTTCTTTTAAAACTTATGGGAAAAGCATATTTTTCATTTGTTTATGCTGTCTTTGTGCAAGCAGAGTAAGAGAATGTGTTTGAGTGCCAGAAGTAAGGAGTACAAATAGTTTTGAATCATGTGGTTGCAGTCTCAAGAGTACTTTGAGAGTGAAACTAGAACACATTTTAGCATTTCCATCTGCATACCTGTAATTTGCATCATCTCTAAAAAGAAGGCATTTACCACACGCTTGTAAGGCGTATATCGAAAGTGCATGCAGCAAATGTCATGCTGCTCTTTGGTTTTGGAAGAGGCTGAGGTGTGGGGGAAGATTTGTTTAATTTTTTCAAAGAGGTGTAACACGGGCTTTCCCCATTTCAAAGTAAGGCAGATGTAAAAGAAGTGTTGGTGCTTTATAGACACTTGTGTATGTATATGTATATTTATATATAGGCTTGTACACTATGTTCTTTTTCAGGTTTTTCTGACAATTTTAATTTGAATAGTATCCACTGGAAATTTAAGATGATTCTGGTAAACAATTATTAATTTTAGGTGATTTCCAGTATGTCAGCTCATTAAATCACTGTTTTGACACACCTTTTTAAGAAATATTTCTCATATGTTTGAGGACAAATCAGATGTAGCTATATCAAATATTTTCCTAGGAAAGAGAGCTACAGAAGTGTTGGCCAGAATTTCTAATTGGGGTAACAACCCCTCAGAGCCCTCAAGCTCATTAGGGCCCAGATCCAGCAAAGCTTTTATGCACATGTAAATTTAAGAATGTGAATTTTCCCATTGATTTCAATAGGACTGCTCATGTGCTTACAGTTATACATGTGTTTAAGTGCTTTTCTGGATCAGGGTCTATGCTGGCAATAGAGTGGAATGGGGGATTGCACAAAGGAATCTTATCCGGATCTGGGAGAGGCTAATTTGGCTTTTTTATTTATATACAGACAGATGAAGGTGAATAGCTTGTGACTTAGAACAGTATATTTAATGTCTCACAAGAGTTGTCCAGAGCTTAGTGAGCTTGTGAGGATTCCCTAGATTGTTTCCCGGCCACTATCTTCCTGTCAGTGACACCAGACAACCCACCAGTGTCATTTATTTAATCAGCCAGAGAGGTCAAAGAGGTGAAGTAGACTCTCCCCTAAAAACATGCAGTCTCAGCAGAGCTCTTACCTACTGTTAGCCTGCAGAGTGAGAGACCAGAAATAGAACCAGAATCTGCAGCATGGTGGTTCTAAAGCTCTATAACTGGTTCACTAGGCAATGCTGTTCATCTTGTATTAGGGTGGAATTTTGCATCTGGAAGGAGGAGGCCTAAATAGGAAAGGAGTTTTGAAATTGTGACTTTAAGGAACCTCCTTTTACCACACCATTTGAACCATATCTGGGTTGAAAGAAGCTGAAGTCTTCTTAAACTCATGATGTGAAAAAACCTTCACACCAGTAAACAGCTATCAACAACATTATTTTGCATTTTTATGGTTTAATTTGTCTTCTTGTTTTTAAGGGATGCAGCACTATTAAACAGTTAATGAACGCTAACTGTATAGTCTAAAGTGGCAAGATCCCAGCAAATTCTCATTCGTTGGTGTTTGGCTTTTTTTATAGTACACTTATTTATTGGCAACTGGAATATATATATTCTTAGTGAAACTGTCAGTGTGAAAATGAAGCTATCATTGTAAAACTGACAGTTTTGACAATAAGAACTCCCCTTCAATATTTGAAGCCTGCTGTACTCCCCATAGAAATTGAAACCATAAACATTGTATGGAGTCAGATGAATTGCTAAGATCCCAACATAAATTTTAAGAAAAAGAACATCTTTTTGATATAGCTGCATGAGTGTCTCTATGTTGACTTTCTTTGAAATAGTGCACAAAAGAGGAGCTACATCTATTTTGGTAACATCAGGATGGAGAACCCCGTACACTTCCATTACCATGAATGGAGCAGAAGAACACAAACCATGTATACTTTGGCCCAAATCTTGCAAACACTGGGGCATCTGCAGGCTCAGGGCCTATATTTGTTAAAATAGGAGGTTTCTGGTTTGGCTAGGTTTGTCCCAGGCTAACTGTTCAGCAAGCGATTTTCCCATAAAAAATCCATGATTGTGTATTTCTGTTCATTTAATAAATTTGGTGGGAAAATTAAATGTCTTCAATTTTCTTTTTAATAGAAAACCAGAAGTGGAAGAAAATGAAGTATTTTTGTGTTCATGCTTTGCATACACCAAAACTGAAACAAAGTAAGGAAGTTCACGTTTTGTTTGTTATTTCAGACTTACTGTTTCAGGTGAACATGATCCATCTCAAAGCTGTGTTAATGGGATCAAAATGGCTACTTACACTTACTAGCAAAAAGGGAAGGAGTACTTGTGGCACCTTAGAGACTAAACAATTTATTAGAGCATAAGCTTTTGTGAGCTACAGCTCACTTCATCGGGTGCATACAGTGGAAAATATAGTGGGAAGATTTTATATACACAGAGAACATGGAACAATGTGTGTTACCATACAGACTGTAACAAGAGTGACCAGGAAAGGTGAGCTGTTACCAGCTGGAGAGCGGGGCCGGGGGTAGGTGTGTGTGTGTGTGGGTGTGGGTGTGAACCTTTTGTCGTGATAATCAAGGTGGGTCATTTCCAGCACTATACAAGAACAGTAGGAGGGGAAATAAACAAGGGGAAATAGTTTTACTTTGTGTAATAACCCCTCCACTCCCAGTCTTTATTCAAGCCTAAGTTAATTGTATCCAGTTTGCAAATTAATTCCAATTCAGCAGTCTCTCGTTGGAGTCTGTTTTTGAAGTTTTTTTGCTGAAGAATTGCCACTTTTAGGTCTGTAATCGAGTGACCAAAGAGATTGAAGTGTTCTCCGACTGTTTTTTGAATGTTACAATTCTTGACGTCTGATTTGTGTCCATTGATTCTTTTACATAGAGACTGTCCAGTTTGGCCAATGTACATGGCAGAGGGGCATTGCTGGCACATGATGGCATATATCACATTGGTAGATGCACAGGTAAATGAAGTGGCAATTCTTCAACAAAAAAACTTCAAAAACAGACTCCAAGGAGAGACTGCTGAATTGGAATTACTTTGCAAACTGGATACGATTAACTTAGGCTTGAATAAAGACTAGGAGTGGATGGGTCATTACACAAAGTAAGACTATTTCCCCTTGTTTATTTACCCTCCTACTGTTCTTGTAAAGTGCTGGAAATGGCCCACCTTGATTATCACTACAAAAGGTTCACCCCACCCCCTCACCCTCCACCGCGCTCTCCTGCTGGTAATTGCTCACCTTTCCTGGTCACTCTTGTTACAGTCTGTATGGTAACGCCCATTGTTTCATGCTCTCTGTGTATATAAAATCTCCCCACTATATTTTCCATTCTATGCATCCGATGAAGTGAGCTGTTGCTCACGAAAGCTTATGCTCTAATAAATTGTTGGTCTCTAATGTGCCACAAGTACTCCTTTTCTTTTTACAGGTACAGACTAACATGACTTCTACTCTGAAACCTAGCAAAAAGAGATGACTGAGTCTTACAGATGTTTTTCTTATGTGGTGTTTAACTTAATTAAATTAGATGTCTGTTTAAATTGTATTTTGTAGTCACATTATACTGAATCATTGAAATCAAAGTAGCTAGATTATGGTTTCCTTCTAAGCATCTCTGCCTTTATAATATTTACATAATATTCCCAAGTCTAAGTGTCAACTGCCTACTACATTTACTCACATGTGCAACTGTTGGTAATTGTGCTCAGTCTAGTCCACTGAAACTCAAAAACCATTTTTGGTTCTTTGTAAGGCCTGTGCCATTAGGACCCTGCATCTGTGTAAAGAGATCCAGTGTTAATAGAAAAAATTTACATTTATGGAAAAATATTCCAAACCTGTTTCTGAAATCCCTCTGAATCACTCTGCATTTCAGTTAAACAGTTTACCAGAGAATTTCAGCACAATAAGCAAGAGAACATTCTTTCTAGTCCTGTTTCTGCAAGTTTTATATTAACAGCACCCAGAAAATACATGCACTTTATGGAGTGTCAAAGATGCAGCAGACTTAGAACCTACTGCTTGTACTCTATCACAGACAAAGAAATTGTACCTTGACTTAGAAAGCTTGGGCCACATCCTGCAATACTTACTTACACATATGAATAATTTTATGTGAGTATTCTTACTGAGTTCAGTGAGACTATTTATCTCCATAATGTTACATTAATAAATGTTTGTCGATAGGGGCACTGGTATATATGACATTGTACAAACATATTCTAATCTTGTAAAACCTTATGCATGTTCGTAGTCCCACTAAAGCCACTCATGCAAGTAGGACCATTGAAATCCTTGCTTGTGTGAATGAGGACTTTTCACCTAAGTAATAGCTTCCATGATTGGTCATAGTTATCCATACTCACTCACATCTCTGTGTTACCTTGTTTTCACACTGCAGAATGAGTAAGAACAGGTCAGGCTGTATCCGAGGAAGATAGACTGAAATTAAAGCTACATATGTTTTCTGATCCTTCCAATACAAAAGCTATTTGCTGATGAGCTAATGCTGTTTACAGAACATCTCTACTGCTTTTTTATGTTATATTTTTACAATAATATCTATGTCAACTTCTGAAAGTCATTGTTAAAGGGGCACTGGCTGAAAACTACATGGAAAAATGTTTCCTATCTCTAAATAGTTCTTATTTTAATCAGCAGTCTTTTGAACCTGTGAATCTAAATGACAAAAACTGTAATCATTCAGTGAGGAAATAGTTAATAATCAAAAAGCTTTGCAAAATAATATCTCAGGAGCTGGTTGGTTTTGCTCAGGAAGTTTGCATTTCTTGAGTTTATGCTACCTCATTATTTCTAATATTGAAACTACAGTTTACCAGTCACACAAACCTTTTAAATCAAGAAATGAGCATACGGTTTATTAGCTTAAAAATTGAGTATTTTATATGGAAAATATCCCGTTAGACTTATTGGGCCACTTCTGCTTTCACTTAAATTGGTGTAAATCTGAGGTAACTTGTATGAAGTCAGTGAAATTAGTCCAGGTTTGTACTAGTGAAATTGAGAGCCGGATTGTTTAGCCATTACCTCAGAAAGTAATTTATAACTATAGTCAAAATACATGACTGCTAAATCTTAAGGTTTTTAAAAAAATGTTATTTGTATATCTAATAAATCTGATTCCTAAAATAAATACAAAGATGAAAATTCATTTTAATAACTACCAGCAATTAAAATCTGTATTTTAATTTAGTAACTTCTCGGAGTATTTGGATTGATTTTCTGAAAACTAAGAACAGTGAAAATAAAAACATCTTGGTCGGGCAGCAACAAAAGGATTCTGTGAACCAAAGTTAGGGATATTTTAGTTCCTTACATTGATATTGGACATACTGCTTATGACTATAGCATCTCAAACGGTAATCACATCTGATCATAAACTGAATAGGCATGTGCTTGGTCAATTCTTGGTTAGGAGACCTCGAAGAAAACCCTGCTTGCTACTGGAAGTGGTGGTGGTGGTTTGATATATGGCATTCTTCTGTCCTGGATCACTTCTGAATCAGTGTCTCTGCAGTGCGTTAATGGTCATTGTAGCGCTAAAGGTGCTGTCTTCCTGATGAGACATAAGCCCAAAGTCTTGACTATTTGTAGCCACTAAGCTCAAAGCTCCTATGATGCCTTTGAGCAAGTGAACCTTATTTGTTGGACATATTCTAATTTGGGTAATTCCTACATGAAAATTCCCTCTGCAGTTTCAAAATGATATTCTTCTTCAATTCCTGTCTTAATCTGCTGATGACTGAAGTCAATGAGACTAAGCATGATAGCACATTTTTGCAGGATTAAGACTATAGTTTATAAAGTGCTTGAGATGGAGGAGAGATTATGAGGCAAGATTAATAAGACCTCAGCTTGGAAAAGAGACGACTAAGGGGGGATATGATAGAGGTCTATAAAATCACGATTGATGTGGAGAAAGTAAATAAGGAAGTGTTATTTACTCTTAATCATTACAGAAGAATTAGGGGTTACCAAATGGAATTAATAGGCAGCAGGAACAAACAAACAAAAGGAAGTAATTCTTCACACAATGTACAGTCAACCTGTGGAATTCTTTGCCAGAGGATCCAGAGTAACAGCCGTGTTAGTCTGTATTCACAAAAAGAAAAGGAGTACTTGTGGCACCTTAGAGACTGACCAATTTATTTGAGCATAAGCTTTTGTGAGCTACAATGCATCCGATGAAGTGAGCTGTAGCTCACGAAAGCTTATGCTCAAATAAATTGGTTAGTCTCTAAGGTGCCACAAGTACTCCTTTTCTTTTTGCCAGAGGATGTTGTGAAGGCCACATCTATAACAGGGTTAAAAAAAGAACTAGATAAATTCATGGAGGATAGGTCCATCTATAGCTATTAGCCAGGATGGGCAGGGATGGAGTCCCTAGCCTCTGTTTGCCAGAAGCTGGGAATGGGTGTTCTGTTCATTCCCGCTGGGGCACCTGGCATTGGCCACTGTTGGAAGACAGTATATTGGGCTAGATGGACCTTTGGTTTGAGCCAGTAGGGCTTTTCTTATGTTTTGATGGATCTTTCTGGGTCTAAAATGTTAGGGGATGAAAGCTGTTTAAATTGTTTTTGGCCCAGATTCTCAGCCTAGGTTTAATTGTCTTTGCACTGTTCCAGTAGTGCAAAGGAGACTTAACACTGCCCCAGAGTGGCAACTGGGGACTTCCCTGTCGCATCCCATGGTGGCCTAAAGTTAACGTAGGAGACAGGCTGAAACCATGCTCTGTGCTCCAGCCAGTGGGCTTGTTATTCAGGGACCATTTCTGTTGGCATAATTTAGAGCAACTACTAGGCTCTTCTAAATCATGCTGGGAATCAGGGCATTAGCAAAATGGCATATTTTTTCTTCCTCCCTCCATCCAGGTTCTGTACTGAGCCCCGCTTAGCCAGATCCAGTAACATGGCCCATATTTTTTGTATGTATCAGAGAAGAAACATTTAACATCAGTATAAAACTATTCACTAGACTGAAGTATTTAGTAATTACAACGCATTATAGTATTTAGAGAAATTTGTTTTATGGAAATTGCACAAACAACCCAATAAAAGAAAACCACACGACCAAACAAAGTCCCTGAGACCCCCAAAATCAGTTTTTTAATAGCATCAGTATAAAAATATATGTATTGAAATGGTGAGTTAATATTGTTTTC